GGCCAACTCCCGTCAACAGAATGGGTCGGTGCGAAATCCAAAGGTCGATAGGCCTTCGAGTAGTGGGTTGGATTGGGTGAGTAGTATGACACGTAGTTGGGCAGTTGGGCGAACGAGGCTGTCGCCGATGTTCGATGCTCCTCTTTTGTACGTCACGGTGTACTGAAAGTTGGGCTCAAGATCGATTAACCAACGGATCCGTTATGGGTTCAGATTCAGTTGTGCGCGTATGTACTATAGTGACCGATGACCTGTCCGTACTGTCACGTATGCGCCCTCCAAGTAGCAGCGCCGGACTTGAACGCGTGCACGAGGGCGAACATATTCCTATCATGTATACGGTGGAGCTCGCAAGTCTCGTAGGCGATTGGCTGAGAAACCTTTTTGAAATCCTACAACAGTACTGCTTCGATGGCGATATTGTTTGCGTATGTGACTTGCTCGAAGGCAAACACATCTTGTTTTCTCTTTGAGGGCAGAGAAGGCAGCCTACTCTTTCTTCCCTCAGGTTTAGTCAAACCTCTTCCTTCGCAGGCATGTCAACGGGCCGGTCAACTTCGCCGCGTCGAGACGAACCAACAGACGTAGTCGATGGACCCTAATAAACATTGCAGCTCGATAAGGTTTGTAAGTGCATGCCGTACTCGAATTGTCGCGATCTTCTTTCGGTATATTTTCACTTTGTTAGCTGAATTTACATGTCGTAAAAAATGGTGTTCGCTCTTTGAGCTTTTTGTTAGTAGGCGGTGCTCGTCTAAGGTCTTGAAAGCAACTTTGAGGTTCTGTAAGTGCTGTGCTTTCTGCTTTGACGGCGCCTTAGTTTATTATGTACAAAATACGCGCTTATCTAATAGCAAACAAAATGCTAAGTTCATCGTTATCTAGAATGTCGTTGGGGCATTGGGCAGACCAAAAGGTGTCATAGTGTATTTGAATGTTCCGTCGCGGGTGCAAAAGGTTGTATCCTCACATTCGGTAGGATTGACGCGTACCTGGTGGTAACCCCCCCTAATATCTGGTCGACATTAAAGAACATCCGGGCAGTGCGCAGTTGGTCCTTTAGCATCGCGCAGCGTCGAATATAAAAAGTCGGTGGTTATGTTCAGTGTGCGGTAATTTATGCACATGCGAAAAACTCCGTCCCTTTTCGCTGTGAACAGAATAGGTACGGCAAATGGTGAAAATTTTAGGCAAATCTAGTTGTTGTTATTCTTTGTTTTGGTTGTGCCCTGGGTTATTACTGTTGTGGTCGTACGGTCACCGAGGTGGCAGTCCCTTCAATAGGACTCCGGGAAAAACCTCTTGGTGCCGCTTAATTTTTTTTATACATTGTCATCTGGTACGTCGGCAAACAGGTCTTGCAAACCGCTCGGTTTCTCTTATGCCTCGTCTTCCAGCGTATACGTCAGCTCCAGCTGCTGCGGTGCGTTTCATGATGATGGCGCTGACACGATCCGAAGAAGGCTCGGCTGAGCCCAAGCGAGGTAGTGCAATGTTGTTACCATTGGTTCGCACGGTCAGTCACCTGCCATCGAGTGTTGTCACCATTGCAGAGAATAGTTCCGGCTCGCTTACCCACATGCCCACAGGACGAATCTTATAGCCATTAGGGAGACAACTTCGGGTCATTTCATTGCCCACTTCCAACAATCACCATTTCCTCGGCGTTATGACACTGCCTATGTCCGTTTGCCTGCAAACATCATTGCTAATATATCAACTTCCTGTCAGAATCCCAACCACTAGACCATTGGGATAAAAGGGCTTGTTTCAGTAGCGGGTCAGTGCGCCCATAACCCCCCAGGCAAACGCGCCTGTAACCCCCCCTAGGATCGATTGGGGATCTCACAGTGTAGCTCTACTGACACCCCCCCACACTGGGAGGCCCAGGACTGAGCACAGTGGCAACGGCCAACATGTGCATACACCGAGATTCGAACCCGAGACCGCTCTGATACCATGTCAGAATCCCAACCACTAGACCATTGGGATAAAAGGGCTTGTTTCAGTAGCGGGTCAGTGCGCCCATAACCCCCCAGGCAAACGCGCCTGTAACCCCCCCTAGGATCGATCGGGGATCTCACAGTGTAGCTCTACTGACACTTCCATCGTGCCCTTAATCATCTACAACGCACCGTATGAAGCTTCATCCAGGGCTAATGTATAAACGAAAAATCAATTGTTAAAAATGAGATGCATATTTTCTCAAAGTCGGAACAACAATTGTATATACATCGGGTGCATTTTTTGTCGGTGTCAGGCTCGCTGACATAAGGCTTTCGACGAGTTTGATCATTCCACATCACTATCGTTCAATTATCAACCCTTCACAGCTTCGTGTCGGGATACTAAACGCTGGCCAATAACCCACTCTTAAGCGTAATATTTTTCAAAATCGCTGAAAGTTGGACATACATCCTGATGCGTGGGAAGCATCGACATCACACAGACGCAATACGACTTTGATAACCACAAAATCGTCCGGACGGTTGGTCGTCGTCGGGACCAAATTTGTTGAAAAGGTTTACACGCCCTAATGAATTGGAACCTCATTTTGCTGAAGTAAACTACGTCGTCGGGGGCCTTCAAAACTACTGTACAGTCGATGCTCACATTATTCCGTGTCCAAAGGTCATCCCAATCAGAAAAACAGTCACTCGCGAACGTTTTTGCCCGTAAGTGACTGAATTGAGCATTGGGGTAGAGTCACCAAGTTGCAGAAAATCGACGTCTACAATTCAGAAACAACAGAAGTTTCCCGTCGCTTACGTCATCGTATATGTCATCTTAAAAGGGTTGACCGAGTTACAGCGACTTGAGGAAGGTCCCACTTTCACTTGACAGTCCCATTTTTGCCCGAGGCGACGTGGCGAAATCGACGAAATGCCTGTTGCCCGTTTCAGTCCATTGCCGCCCGCCTATCTGGTGTTCTTGTAATGAGCACCGTTTGTACTTCGTAAAAGATCCAGGCCAGATCGTGTCGATAGGACCAGCACGTGCGACTCATTCGGGTCTGCCGCAGGTGTCTTCCATTGGATGGAAGGGCATTGCTGCTTTATGTGGGTGGTGGTGGTGGGCCTCCTTGGAAGGACACCAAACCAATTTTCCAGGAACATCAATCTTGGTGGATCCTCCTGCTGACGGAGGATGTACACCGTGGCGGAACGAGTTTTGATACTACAGGGATGGCTCGTCTAGAGTTCAGGGGGTGTGTGGTCTGGGTCGAACTTTGCCAAAGTTAGAAATTTCTGAGTTGTTTAACACGGTAGGTAACAGCAGAGCACGTGTCGCCATACAATACAACGTTTGCCAGATCATACGCGCCCTTATCGCAAGTGAGAAGCAGGAGGACCCCCTTACTAGAGAATAGACCACATCAGCGAGTTCGTTTTGCGGGTTTGGATATGATTGGAAGTGCCCCTCTGTTGAGTGGTCCGCCCGGCATCCTCATGGCTCGTGTGTGCCCCCAAACATGGGCTCGCGTCGCTGGACACCCCCTAGTTACCGCCTCACTGTGCTGTTCGCGTCAGGATGCTTGGCATGATGTACGGGTAGAACTCAGCAAGCAACTCCTGGCAGGTAGCGGCGGGCTGAGATTGTTTGGGCTCAGGTTGGGTGGGAATGGGTAGGGTGAGATAGGGAGGAGGGCGGGCGGGGTGAAGGTGGAGAGGCGAGGGAAGAGCTGGAGGAGTTTCTTCCCAGCCCAGCACAGCATGGATGGACAGTGATTGTACATGGCATGGCGGCAGACGTAGGGCAGTGGTAAATTATGGTGCTCCAGATTGTTCAGAAGTACACAGTTATATTCTGAAAAAAAAATATCATTTTTTTCACACGGTGAGACTATTTCCCCATCTGCGACCACAATCGTACATTTGTACCGTACACGTACATCACGCGTTCGGAGACAATCATTGGTCAGATGTGTCTGTCAGGTCACGCGTTTTCGTGTTGCGGGCAGCTGATCTGTTCATTCAGCATCGGTTCGGTGCTTGCAGGAGCAGGGTGCGGCGGTGAAGCAGTTTTCCGGTTGATCCGTGTCCAAATGGGATATTCCTTGGTGTATGTGAAAATTTAAATTATGATTTCTGAGTCAAAGGATCTTGGTTCCGTGAGAGTCACCTGTAAATCCAGTGAGTCCAGCTACAGTAGAAAATGTTGTTGAACCAAAGTTTCAAGATGCACCAAAGCAAAAACCATAGCTCCCAAATCGGCTACCTCATGCACTGCTGTACTGCACCGTTCCGAAGTTCCCACACCTTGGGCCAAGGTACTGCACCGTACCAGGCTTGGCCCAATGGGCATTGCATGCACAGAACAGAACGCCCTTTTCTGAACCTCGATTTTTGCCCCGTTTGTCGTGCTCCAGTGGTCGAGCCCAAGTCACCAGCTTTGTGAACCAGGGGCTTGTCATGCACGGACGGACGGAAAGGGAAGCCAAGCCAAGTGACGTGTAGGTCTTCCGAGGCCGAGGCCGAGCCCGACCACACACACACGAATGTCCTGTGGCATGCCAGTGGGAAGCAAGGAAGTCCCACCTCGATTCGAATTGAACCCATGAAGCAAAACGACAGACGGACGTTTCTTGCCTTACTTTGCGTTGTGTTGCGTGTGAGCCAATCGGAGAAGTTCCTCGAGTCCCACATGCTCAATGGTCCCTCCATCCAGTGGCTAACGACAAAGACGGTTCAGTTGAGTTGAGTCCGTGTCCCTTTTCGTCATCACTGCCTGCCTGCCTGCCTGCCTGCCTGCCCGCACCTATTCGACCCACCCACCCACCTCCCATCCCACCCATCCCATCCCATGCAATCCCCGCTTCCCATCCCCCAAATGCTTGTTCAAGAGTCAACATTCAACAGCCGAGTCCATTTTCTTTTCCTTCGTGACACAACAGTCGAATTCCGGAGTGCTCCCAATTCGATAGTGTTGTGACCAGAAACCTGCTTGAGAAGTCATATCGAGTGCGGCTGCTTTTGACGACCAACCTGGTCAATAGTGAGATGGCTGGGAGGCCGTTATCCCCGTTTCTCGCGATGAACGACGCACAGCAGCCTGCTAATCCCGCGGCCGTCGTCGCCGCAAACCATAACGGCGGATCTCTTTCGACCATGCAGCAGCACGCGTTGACATCCGCGCTTATCCAGCACATGCAACAACAGCAACTACAACAACAGCAGCAGCAGCTTCTGCGACAGCTGCAGCAGCAATCCCATCCGCCGCAAGTAGCGGGGACTGAAGATCCCCAGCCTGTTGGTCTCTCGCTACAGCTCTTCCCTTCCGCGCCGCCCGCGCCTACGGGGAACGATGCGGAACTCCCCCGGGGCGAAGCTTCAGCGCGCGCCACTGAGCCTGACCTGCGCCTCAGCGTAGGCTTGTCGCTCGGCGGCGGCGGGGTGGCGGCGGTTGAAGTTGGCGCTAATAAGCCAGCGAAGCGGAAGAGAGCAGATGAGGTACGATTCTCATATTGCAACAAATCACGCGAGCTATGGTTCGTGTTTGACGGCGTCCGTTTCGTCCGCTTAGTCGAGTCCTTCGTCTCAAGACGTTTTCAAGCGTTTGTTCTGTCTCGTACCTCTTGCGAAGTCATCCTGTGTCGATCGACGCGCTTTTTTCGGTTCGAGACTTTCCTCCCGTTCCCGTCGCCGCATGCAGCTCCGTCTGATTTCGTCCTCTTGCATATCTCTTAACCCTGCACGTGCAGCTTCCTCGCGCGCAAACTCCCGAGAGCTCGGGGGAGAACAGCAATCTGGACACCGCGGCCCCGCCCCCGCCCCCCGCCGCGCCGCGCCCCCTCTTCGCCTTTCCTCCTGGTGGCGCTGCTTCCGCCTCCCCGCAGTGGTTGGCGACGGTCCCTCCCGGCAATACTGCGCACATAACCGCGCCCCTCGCCCACCGGTCCCCCCATCAAGCTGGTGTCGCAGCGCTACCCGCCACTCCGTCTCCGGACGACGTCCCAGGCGGGGGTTGGATGGGCGCGGGGGATCGTCGCGTCCCGTGCGGCGCGGGTTCCCCTGTGGAGGGACGTGCTGGAGGGTTGAGCGGGACTGGAAGCGCGGGAGGATCTGGAGGAGAGCAGGAAGAGGGCTTGGACGCGCAGGAAGCGGGGGGAAAGTCGTCCCGGCCACGGACGGTCGCAGAGAGGAAGCGACGAAATGGAATAAGGTAAGCGTTGTGGGACTCACCCTGACCAGAGCAACATCATAAATCACTTGCAGAAGTCTTGTTGTTGCAGTTTCATGATTCCTTCTTGTCTCAACCCTCTCTTTCTTATTATCTCATTGGTGGTGCGTGTTTGGGTGACTGTGCAGCCTGAAGCTAGAGCAGCTGAAGAGAGCCATACCCCAGTGTAACACACGGGTGACCACGGAAGCCCTTCTTTGTGAGACTTTGACTTACATCCAAGCACTCAAGGCCAAGGTTGAGGTGCTTCAAGCAGAAAAGGCTGAACTTCTTTCCCAAGCATTAGGAAGACAAGTGCAAGGTCATTAGAGATATGTAAGAGAATAGTTTATTAGTGAAATATAGATGTTCCTTCTTGTAACGAAGAATTCATATCTACACTAAATTACAAAAGTGTACCTGATCGTACCAGGCATTGCGGCAGAGGATTGCAGATGCAATTTCCAACAACGTGCACAGCGGTTCAGCTTTGGTTCTATGGCAAATGATTCGGTCAAGTTCGATTTTACGATGAATTCCTTGCCAACTTTATTTGGCTGAAAGAAGCTACCAGTGTGTTGGAAAAAAGGCAGTCTCCAGCTGTCATGGTGACGTGGTTTCACCCTGTCTCCAAAGTCCTCGCAAGGGGGGGTGGCCCGCCATCTGATGTGGCATCATGACACGTGCATCAGCTTGTTATCCAGCAAGCACCAGCTCATGCTGCACAGAGATCGCATCCACGAGATTTTCCCACCGTTCATTTCAAGAACCTACAGAGTCCCAATGGGTTGCTTGCATCTCCTGCATTCATGCCCACCGTTCATTCCGAAGGCTCCCTTCCCCACAAATTCCCCTGTCGCTCGATTTCTTGGTAAGGCAATTCCCAAGCTTCCGCTCATGCTTTCCCGCTTCCGCCCTCCCGCTTCCGCTTTCCCGTTTCCACATACCCCCCACCCCCCATCCAGCTTCCGCCTTCCCTCCACTCCGCATCCTTTCTTGGGAACTCATTCTCCCAACTATTGTTTCGATTCCTTCATTCGTCAGTCAGAAGAATCCGACCGGTAAAGAAGCGAGTACCACGATATTGCCGTTGCCGTCGACCTCCAGGTCCCGTGCGCTTCGTGCATACGTTAGCGCGGCTTTCCCTCCCGAGAAGCGCTATGGCGGCATTCGTCGGAGCAGCTGCCGTTGCGGCTCCAGTGCAGGTCCCTACCGTAAAGCAACTATCGGGAGGGTCCAGTAGTAGCAGGAACAGCAGCGTTTCGGCGCGCTGTGCCGTGCCTAAGAAGCTCGGTTCCGAGATTCTGGGAACGCAGTTTTCCGCCACGTCAAGCGTGCAAGCAGCCTCGCAGAATGTTCGCGCGCGGTCGGTGGAGGTCCGAGCTGTGGCGACGGAAGCACCCACGAAGATGTCGAGAGTCGTGAAATGGGATCAGGAAAAGAGACTGCAGGTGAGCGCTTGATATTTTCAACCTTCCTGAGACTGTCATAGGAGCTAACAGCAGGAAACTCGAAGTCTTTTGGTGTCTTCGCGTATTCGCGGAGCACGTCGTTTTCTATAAGCAAATGTCGATGTGCTCAACTGTTCATGTATGTTCAGACCCCTACAGCCTTAGGTCACTCCCTGTCCAGTGTTTTCTTCTAGTCGTCAAGTATTTAACTTGTGCTTGTAATCCTCACGCATGCGCGACATAATCTCTGTACGACGCCCACATATTCTCACCTACAGACCCAGACAACCACAATCGCTGCGGATACGACCACCATTCGCTCTCTCGACTGGGACCGCGACCGTTTCGATATGTATGTCGCCTTGTCTTTGCGCGTAGGACCGCGTCTGTTGGCATGTGGACATATCCGTGTGTGAATCTAGTTAGTCCTCATACGGGTAGGTCCCTCGTTATCGTCACAGACATCTGCTTTGTTCGGGCCTAGCGCACATAGCACATTAGTCGACTTTCGCTTACCTGTCTTAAGTTTCGTCCTCTGGGAAACACTTTTTGTTAACAATCTCAGCATGCACACTTGCGCAGCCCATTTTGGAGCTACCTACCTCACATACACCTGTATTCTGGTTCTGTAGGCCTTCGTCTCTTCCTCTTCTCTCACCGTGCAGCGAGTTCTTAATAAGCACCTTCGCTTTTGTGCACCCTCTCCTCTCTCACTTTTTCTTTAATAATTCCTCCCTCTCCCACTCCCCCTCCCCCTCCCCTTCCCCTCCCCCTCCCCTCACCCTCCGCTTCTCCTTCCCCTCCCCCTCCCCTCCCCTTCCCCTTCCCCTTCTTCCTTCCCTTCCCCCTCCCCTCTCTTCTCTCTCCATGCAGCGAGTTCGGTCTTCTCAAGGGTACCACCTACAACTCCTTCCTAATCCGCGGCGCCAACAAGGTCGCCTTAATCGACGCGTCGCACGAGAAGTTCCGCGAGCTCTACCTCTCCGCTCTTAAAGCGGAAATCGACATCAAAGACATCGATTACGTCATCGCGAACCACACAGAACCGGACCACAGCGGTCTGATCCGAGACCTTATCGAACTGAACCCCAACATAACCGTCGTCGGGTCCAAAGTGTGCATTATGTTTCTGCAGAATCTAGTCTTAAAGCCGTTTAAGAGCCTCGTGGCGCAGCCGGGAAAGATTCTGGATCTGGGCGGCGGGCACGAGCTGGATTTCATCATGGCGCCGAACCTGCACTGGCCTGATACCATGTTCACGTTCGATAAAGGCACAGGCGTCATGTTCACGTGCGACGCGTTCGGCAGCCACTACTGCTCCGAGAAGGTGAGAGGAGATTCCCAGGGTGAAGGGAGGGTATTGGTGAGGAGGTGGGGTAAGGTCAAGCGGGGAAGCCAGGGGAAGGTGGGGAGGGGGAAAGACGGGAAGTTGGGAAGGGGCGAAGAGGGGGGGGGAGGACACGAGCTGGATATCGTCATCTCTCTGCATCACCGCCTTACTGTGCCTGCCTCTCCACCCCGACCCCCACCCCTCCCCCCCCCTTGCGCGTCCATGCGATCCCGCCGCTAGGTGTACGACGACGATCTGAGCGAGTTGGAGCCGCACTGCCGCTTCTATCAATTCTTCCCATAACCTTCTCCTTGCTGTGCCTGATTCTTCCCTCCCCCTGTGCGCCTATTCTTGTCATCGCCAGGTGTACGACGACGATCTGAGCGAGCTGGAGCCGCACTACCGCTTCCATCATCTCTACAGCCCTCCTTGCTGCTCCCTCCTTCAATGTGCCACCTTCCCCCCTCCTCCTACCCCCGTGTGCCTGCGTGTGTGCCTGCATATTCGCCATGGCCAGGTGTACGACGAGGATCTGAGCGAGTTGGAGCCGCACTACCGCTTCTACTACGACTGCCTCATGAAGCCCAACTCGCGCTCCGTCCTCACCGCCCTGCGCAAGGTGCGTGCCGTGCCTCCACCGCTCCGCACCGCTCTTTAGCATCGTTCTCGGTTGCTCTGTTGCCTTGGCTTTGAGAATCCCATACAGCTTCCCTGCCTCTCTCCCCGCTCTCCCCGAACGACTTTCTCCCCTTTCCCACCGATCAAGGCTAAAGTCGCCCAGCAAGCCACATGCCTAGAACGTGTCCTGACTGCCCCATATGCGCATACCCATTTGCCCATACCCTTCACTTTCCCCATCCCCTCCCCTTTCCTCTTCCCCATCCACATCCCCGTCCCCGTCCCCATTCCATGCGCGTACTTTTACCCATCGCCATACCCATACCCTTCTCCCCACGGCAGGTCGCCAGTGCGGGGTGGGAGTTCTCTGAGATAGCAGTGGGGCACGGCCCTCTGCTGCGCTACAACGTGCCTTACTGACCACACATGCCCTTCCCATACCTGTTCCCTTCCCTTCACTTCCTACTCCTCCACGCAGGTCGCCAGTGCGGGGTGGGAGTTCTCTGAGATAGCGGTGGGGCACGGTCCTCTGCTGCGCTACAACGTGCCTGAGCTCACGCTCAAGTACGAGCAGTGGAGCAAGGCCGCCATCGAGAAGCAGAAGGTACGAAACCAGTGCGTTTGGGCGCTCCCTTCCCCTCCTCCTTGCCTCTCCATCCCTTTCCTTTCCCCGCCCTCTCCCCTCCCCTTGCTGTGTCCCTTCCCCCCGCCCCCTCCCTTCCTCCCGCCCTCTCCCTTCCCCATGCCCTGTCCTTTCCCCCCACCCTTTTCATCCCCTTGCCCTGCCCCTTCCCCCCACCTACCTCATCCCCGGGCACCCACCGCCTCCGCCACCCCTCCCCCTCAACCCAGTCGTCCATAGCAGTGCTGTACGTGAGCGACTATGGGTACACAACATGTTATGGGGTGGCGCATCACCTTGTCCATCCCCCTTCGCTTCCCCCTTCCCCTCCCCCTCCTGTCCCCTCTCTTCTCAAATCAGTCGTCCATAGCAGTGCTGTACGTGAGCGACTAGGGGTACAGCGACCGCCTCTCTCAGAGAATCACCTGTTTCCCCTCCCTGCAACTCCCTTCACCCCCCCCCTCGCACCTGGCCTCTCCCCCCTCACCCCACCCCCCCCCCCAGTCGTCCATAGCAGTGCTGTACGTGAGCGACTACGGGTACAGCGACCGCCTCTCACAGTGCGTCGCGCGAGGAATCACCAAGGCGGGGGCGGGCGTGGAGATGATGGACCTCAAGGCCGCCGACACGCAGGAGCTCGTGGAGTGCATCGGCCGTAACGCTGCCGTGGTGCTCATGATGCCCCCCACCTCTGGCCCTGCTGCTGCTGCCGTCGCCCCACTGGTTGCTGGGATCAAGACCAAACAGGTGGGTGTGTGTGAGAGGGGGAAGGGTGGGGGGGAGAGGGAGGGGGTGGGGATGGAAGAGGGTAGAGGGAGGGGAGGCAGGCGGGAGGGGAAGAGGGGTGGGCGTGGAGATGATGGACCTCAAGGCCGCTGACACTCAGGAGCTCGTGGAGTGCATCGGCCGCCACGCCGCTGTCGTGCTCATGATGCCCCCCACCTCTGGCCCTGCCGCCGCTGCTGTCGCGCCTCTTGTCGCTGGCATCAAAACCAAGCAGGTGGGTGGGTGGGTGGGTGGGAGGCGATGGGTTGGTCACTGTTGGTGGAGAGTGAGAGAGGGGGAGAGGTGTTGGGAGAGTGGAAAGGCGGATAGGGGAGAAGGGAGGGGTTGGAGAGGTGTGAACCGCGGGAGGAGGTGGGGAGTATGATCTGCCATGGTGCGCGTGATGCCGTACCTGGTAACAGAGATGTCCACGCTGCCCCGATCAGTGCGAAACTCCGCTCCCCCTCGCCCCCATTCGTTCTTCCCCCTTCGTTCTCCGTCACCCCGTTTCAATTCCCCTCCACCAGTCCGTGCTGCTGTGTGAGTCGTACGGAGGGGACGATGAGCCGGTGGACACGCTCATGTACAAGTTCAATGACCGCGGAGTCAAGATGCCCATTGAACCCCTGCGCATCAAGGAGCCCCCCACCGAGGCCGTGTGAGTGATCAGAGAGACAGAGTGTAGTAAGTTGCTGTGGCTATAGTGGCTGTAGTGTAATGAGGGGCTGTAGCAACCTTTGAGGCGCCCGCTAAGTCAAGGTGCCCCTCCAGCCCCTCCGCAAGGTGCCCCTCCAGCCGCAGGGTGTTTTTGAGAATTCTGGAAAAACACCCTGCAGCATCCAGCCCCTCCGCAAGGTGCCCCTCCAGCCCCTCCGCAGGAGCCCCCCACCGAGGCTGTGTGAGTCAACAGAGAGAGAGCGAGTGCGGTGTGGTGAGGGGCTGTAGTCTAATAGGGGGCCACCGTGTAATCGGCGGCTGTAGCAACCTTTGAGGCGCCTCAAAAGCCCCTGACCGTGTAGAAAGTGTTTTTTTGAGGCTCCTCAAAAGCCACTGACCGTGGAGTCTAGATTCCCCTCGAGGCTCGTCGCGTCAAGAAGCCTCCCGCTGAAGCCGTGAGAGTGAGAAAGGGGGGTTGCAGAGAGGTACCAGAGGAGACAACCTCGAGTCCCCTGTTTCAACATCCATCCCTCCCTCCTCGCCCCCCACCCTCCACCTCTCCTGCCTCTGTAATCACCTGCAGGTACCAGCTGTTTGAGGAGGCGGGCACGAATCTGGGGCAGGGGCTGACGCAGAAGGCAATGAAAGAGGAAACGGCCTGTAAGGCTCTCTTAAGTCTCCCGTCCCCTCCTTCCCCTCACACCCCCCTCCCCTCTCTTCTACCTTCCTACTGTTCCTCCATATTTACAGCTATCAGCTGTTTGAGGAGGCGGGCACGGATCTGGGGCAGGGGCTGACGCAGAAGGCAGTGAGGGAGGAGACGAGGCGCAGCATGTCTCTGGCGGTGGCCAAGGCCATTGCGCGCGTGTCAGGAGGGCTGTATGTGGTGGCTGCCTCCAAGGGGGCGTCCCGGGGTGCTATGATCGCCTCCTGGGTCTCCCAGGTGCGTGGGGGTGGGTGCTATCACAGGGCGTGTGAGGCGAGATTGTGTGTGAGGTGAGATCGCCTCCTGGTTCTCCCAGGTGTGTTGTGCGGGTGTGTGAGGGGGGGGAGGGGGATAGAGAGAGGGGGAGAGGGGGGAATGGGGGAGGGGGGAAGCGCAAGCGCAAGTGTCGTAAGTTAGTTGCATGTCTGCATGCGTGCTTGTGTGTTTCTCCGTATCCACCCACTCAGCCTCACCTATCTATCTCCATTATGCTTCCACTTCGCCCTGCTCTCTCTCATTCCCCCCCCAACAGGCGAGCTTCAAGCCACTGGGCATCACAGTCGCTGTGGCCAAGGACAGAGCCATTGAGTCGCTCATGCAGGTGAGGGTTGAGCGGTGCATATGGGCTTTAATCGCAGCCCCTTTAGTGCCGGTTGAATAGGTGTGTGGACTGGGCTGGGCTGGGCTGGGCTGGGGTATGGTGTGGAGGGGTTGACTGCGATGGGGTGGGTTGGGGTGGGGTGCGGAGGAGTCAAATCCGTTAGCTCCGTGCAGGTGAGGTGTCACAGCAAGTGGTCTAAATAAATGGTTCCACGTCAAGCAAGAAGCAGGCAGATTCACTTGAACAGGCAGGAGGATTTCAGGCTGAATGCTCCGTTAGGGATGGGAAGTATGCCAATGGCTTTGTACCCACCTCAATGTCAGTGAAGTGTGTTGAATGCTTCATGAAGTCTCATTCTTCTAGGCCTGTTTCCTAACACCCATTTGCACCACTCGCTACCTCCTCCCTCTGCATGCAGGTGGGCGACTCCTTTGTGCTGAACTGTCTGGAGGAGGGCAACTTTGCGCCTCTTATGAAGCACTTCCTTAAGCGCTTCCCCCCTGGTGGTAAGTGTCGCTCCTTTTCACCAAAACGTTGTCTTCCTTCTCTCCCCTTTCTCCATGGTCATGACCTTTTTTAGGGTCATAGCCAATGTCGTACATATTTTGAAATGATTATTTTGCAGTGAAAGCACTGAAAGCTCGCAATATTTATCCTTGTCCCTCTGCACCTGCCATGTCTTTATTCCCTTTCCATGTCATCCCTTTCCGGTCCTCCAGCTGATCGTTTCGAGGGCATTGACTGGGACCCAGCCAGCAACGGGTCGCCTGTGCTGGCAGGAGCCCTGGCGTTCCTGGAGTGCACTGTGGTGAGCCGCATGGAGACTAACGATCACTGGATCACATATGCCGAGGTCACTGCAGGGAAGGTGTCCAAGCCTGAGGGGCGCACTGCTTCTCACCACCGCAAGTTGGGCGATTATTATTAAGCGCGCCTAGAAGATATGAGGTTGGCATATGAGATACTATGTAAATTGCTGTGTGAAATTGGTTTGTACATGTTTGGGGAAACTAGTGTATTGTTGCAATTTGCAATTTGACTCTGGAAGTCAAATTGTGATACTTAGAAACCATGAACGTGACAACCATATGCAACCTCTCCAGCCACACATTAATAATGCACCCTAATTACATGGTACGGTTATTGTGAGCTGAACATTACCAATTTATGCACACAAAAAAACGTGAATGGACAATCTTGACTAATTAAAACCAGGGTACACATTCAACGCGACTCCAGGCTAAATTTTGGGCGGCATGTTTGCGGGAACTGCTGATTGGTTGACGAGTAGCGAATAAATAGTTGAGAATGGGCGAGCATGGGGCTTTTCGTCCGTGAGAGATGAGGCTTGGCAGGGGAGAGATTGATAACACTTGGATCTAGAAATTGGGGATCAAGGGGAGGGCAACTGGGTTGGCGGAAAGGGGAAAGGGGGTGAGACGATATTGTGGGGGAAGGGGAAACAATTTCGGTGGGAGCGGAATAGGTATGGGGAGGGGGGAAACGAATTGGCGGAAGCACATTCGATGACTTCGGTATACATTTGCCAAATCTCGAGGGTTCAAATGTTCACCTGCTGAAGCGAACACTCCCCCCAGATATTCCTAAATCACTGAGTAACCCCGAGGTCAAAGGTTAACCTTTGACAGAAATCCAATTGAATGTGCACCCTGGTTTTAACACACACGCTAGGCACACAAAACTTCTATAACGCACAAAACTGTAAGGAAAATTCCTTTTCCTTACTTCGCGTCCCTGCTCAGCGCGTACACCACTATTCCCGCCAACAGCACCCAATAGTAATCCGTTACCACTCGCGACACTCGCCTCGACACTGTTCCCGCCACTGTTCACGACGCGACCCAACCTCACGGTTCGGTTGGAAACCCGCGCTCCGGACCTCCGCCTCGACAATTCCCAACCTCGGCGCCAGGCCCGTCGCGCACCCCAATTTCCACGCATTACCGTTACCACTGTAGTTTCGCTATATATTCTTCGCTCATGCCTTCGCTCATTGTACTCTTGCTTCGATAGTGCAATTCTCGTTCGCTCACTCAATTGCACTCGTAACACTTGGTATTCAGAGCCTACGATCTCTTCTCGGACCGCAACCACACCTTCGCTTCCCCACTATCTCCATTTTGGGGGGGGGTAGACGTCTCTCAGCGACACAGCACCGCCGCTCGTCGTGCTCTCTCGTAAGCACGCACGGCCACGACCGAGGCTCTCGCTGAGCTCGCCCGACACCCCCACCATGGCCGAATTCAATCTCGCGACATTGACGCAGGAGCAACTCGACCGTCTCGTGCGCCAAGTTGAAGAATCGGCGCTCGAAATTGCGACGCTCACGGCGGAACGTGACTCCGCGCGTCAGCAATCTACGGTGAACGCACCAACAAATGCACCTGCACAATCGGACGAGCCAATCGTCATCTCGTCCGGTACACCAACACAACACGACAGCGTGGGACAGCGCTCAGGTGCAGCCAGTGATAGCGCCGCCCAACCAATGCCTGGCATGGGAGGAAACAGGGTCGCGCCAAGCCCGCGGGAGCCTCGCGAAGCCCGTCGGCACGTGGAGTTCGCGGCGACAATTGGCGAACAGGCCATCATGGCACCAATGCCACTCAAGCCGCAACGCCCGCCCTGCTTCGACCCGAGTCAGCGTGGAGGTCCGACGGTTCAACCGTGGGTCTTCACGATGAACGTCTTCTTCGACGCGAATTACGTCGAGTCGGACGCAGCGAAGATTCGGTATGCCGTTTCGCTGCTAAGGGGCCCCGCCATGGACTGGTGGCGAGTCATCGTGACGTCGCCACGCGCCTACGAGCCACCGTCGCAAGAGGAAGGGCCCACGGGTCCAGCTGTCACCTGGAGTTCATTCTGCGAGACCGCCCAATACAACACGTGGGATGCGTGGTGCGCAGGGCTTCGGGCGCGCTTCGAGCCGATCGCGGCTTCTATTTCGGCGCGTCAGAGATTGCGCACTTGGCGGCAGCTCGGGTCGGTTCAAGATTACACGAGCGGTTTTCTCGCACTTTGCGAGCAGGTCGGCTACATGCACGAAGCGGAGCGGGTGGACCGTTACGTTGGAGGGCTGAAGCCGGATATTTCGCACGAAATCATGCTGCGCGGACTCTCGAACTTCAACGAGATTCTCGCGCTCGCCGAGAAAATCGACATTCTACGCCGACCGAGACCGGGGTCCTACTACGGACATCGTCCTCGGGGACCGATCGAGCACGCCACTGTAAACGCTGTTGCGACGAATGCAGCTGCCGCGCCGTTTAAGGGGCGCTGCTTTGCTTGCAACAGGCCGGGCCATCGCAAGAGCGAATGCCCAGAGGAGCTGAGGCGTCGCGGAGCAGAGCAGGGGAGGGAGTCTCAGAGGCAGGGAAACGCCAGCAGTCAGTAAGAGTCGGGCCAACTACTGACGAGACAGCCTGCTCGCCCAACCACACCGACCCTCACCGAGTCACAGTACCGATTCACGCCATCGATCGGGCTCGGACGAATAAGGAGGGTACAGCGACGGATTGCCCAGTACTGATCCACGGGAAAATACAGGGAGCAGCAGTGAAGATATTTATCGACGGAGGAGCAAGCCACAGTTTAGTTAATACCGCAACCGGAAGGAAACTGCAACTGACACTTAGCCGGTGCTTACCAGAGATTGACGCACGCTTAGTTGACGGCACGCCGCTGGCCATACGGGAGAAGGTGGAAAGAGTAAAAGTTCGCTGCGGGGGAAACTTCGGGTTTACACAGGAAATGCTCGCGACGACACTGGATGGGCACGACATTTTACTGGGACGTGATTGGCTGCGACGCTACAACCCGCGAATTGACTGGACGACAGGAAGCTGCACTGTGCGAAGTAGTGGAAACTGGGTCGAACTACCCCGCTGGCAGTCGCCTGAGTCTTCAACGGTCCACGTCACGCCATCACGATGAAACGGGCAGTCGCCGCTGGAGCTGACGTGTACGCAGTGGACATTGCAGTAGTAGGAGAAGCAGAGCAGCCGAACGATTTTCAGAAACTGTTAGCCGCAGTACCACCCGAACTACAGGAGCTGTTGAAACGGTACCCGGGGATTTTTCCTGACGACTTACCGGAAGGGCTGCCACCTCAGCGGGCGCATGACCATAGGATAGAGTTAGAACCGGGGGCACAGCCAACTGTACAGCGCCAGTTCAGACTGACACAGCCCGAGCTCGACGAACTGAGGAAGCAGTTAGATTATCTGTTAGAGAAGCAATTTATCAGGCCGAGCTCGTCACCGTTCGCCGCACCGATACTGTTCACGCCGAAAAAAGACGGAGGATTTCGCATGTGCATCGATTACCGAGCGCTCAACAGGGTAACAGTCAAGTCGCGGTACCCCATTCCCCGCGCGGACGAACTGATCGACCAGCTGCGAACAGCACGGGTTTTTTCGAAAATAGATTTACGAGGAGGTTACCATCAGATTAGGGTCGAACCATCGGACTGCGCCAAAACCGCTTTCAGGACTAGGTACGGGTCGTTCGAGTATCGGTGATGCCATTCGGGCTGACCAACGCACCGGCGACATTTCAGATGACCATGAACGAGGCGTTTAGACCACTTTTAGACAAATGCGTGATAGTTTACCTCGATGACATCCTTGTTTACAGTCGTGACAGGCAGCAGCACTTAGCGGATTTGGAAGCAGTTTTTCAGATTTTAGATAAGCATCGGTTACTGACCAAAGGTTCTAAGTGCGAGTTTTTTCAGGACAGGCTAGAGTTTTTGGGGCACGTTATTTCGGAGGCTGGGGTTGAGATTGACCCAAAGAAGCTGGACACTGTCAAAGCCTGGCACCCCCCGACGAATATCACGGAGCTGCAGAGTTTTTTGGGGTTTGCTAATTACGTCCGTCGGTTCGTCCCCGACATGGCTCGCTTAACAGCCCCACTGACGGATCTGCTGCGGAAGGGGGTCGCTTTTACGTGGGGGGAGAAAGAGCATGCAGCCTTCTCTGCCCTGAAAAATGTTCTCTGCTCACCGCCCGTCCTGCGCATCGCCGACCCACACCGCCCATTCGAAGTAGTTACCGACGCAAGTGACATCGCCATCGGAGCCGTACTGCTACAGGATTTCGGCAACGGCCTACAGCCCATCGCATACGAGTCACGAAAACTGCATCCGCCCGAGAAAAATTACCCGATACACGACCGCGAAGCTTGCGATCGTGCACGCGTTCAAGGTATGGCGCTGTTACTTGACCGGCGCGGACGTGACAGTACGGACAGACCATAAATCACTACAGTATCTTCGCGCACAGCCACACCTCAACCGACGACAGATTCGCTGGCTCGATTTCGTCGAGTCAAACTTCCACTACACGGTCACCTACAAAAAGGGAGCATCCAACATAGCTGACGCACTGACCCGCCCCACTGCCCAAATCCACGCGATACTACTCGCCCAGACCAGCCCGCTACTGACAGGACTATTTACCCACGGGTATCAAACGGACCCATTCTTCACAGGAGGAAATTTGCAGCAGTTCGCAGCAGCCAAGGGAGTCTATTACGTAAAAGCCGGGACCGACCGCATCTGGGTACCAGGGTACACACTGCTACGGGAATTACTGTTACAGGAGGCACACGACGGAGTTACCTCGGGACATTTCGGAGTAGAGAAAACACGGCAGCAGCTGCAGCGGTATTATTACTGGCCCGAAATGTTGACCGACGTTCAACGACACGTGGCATCGTGTCCCACTTGCCAAATCATGAAGTCATCACGGAAGCGGCCGGCAGGACAGTTGCAGCCGATACCACCCCCAGAGCGTGCTTGGCAGCAGGTGACGATGGACTTCGTCACGGGGTTACCGGCCGGAGCGAGTGGGAATGACGCGATCCTGGTCGTCGTCGATCGACTGACGACAATGGCACACTTCGCAGCCTGCAAAAAGTCAACCACAGCCGAAGAAACAACCCGCCTCTTCATCTCTACCGTCGTTCGACTGCACGGGATACCAGCAACAATCATCAGCGACAGAGACACGAAATTCACCAGCAACTTCTGGCGGAACCTGTGGCAGCAGTTCGGCACGCGACTACAGTTTAGTTCATCATACCACCCCGAAACCGACGGACAGACAGAACGGACAAATCAGACCATGGAACAGCTCATCCGGGCCACGTGCGACGACCCGAACACATGGGAACAGCAACTGCCACTCATCGAATTCGCATACAACAACTCGCCATCTGCCACGACCCAACAGTCACCTTTTTACCTAAACTACGGACAAGACCCTACAGTACCCATGACCCCGAATCCCGACAACCCAGTCCCACGCGCACAACAGTTCGCAGAAATATTACAAGCAGCACGGACCTGAGCAGCAGTACTCAGTGGCAGCAGCAGCACCAGTGGCTCCGCGCACCACTTGTGCTGTTGGAAGCCGGTTGGCAAGGACGAGGCTAGAGTGCTAAGTTGGCCCTAATCTACCAGTGTACTGTTAGGAAATTGAAGGCATTATTGATTAACTCCGCGTGGAATCCAACATTTAGCTTTGCAGGTTTGAAGCAATGCAGCCTAACTTTCCGAAACAGTCTGGCAGGAGTTCTAACTTCTAGTCCTGCTGTGCTCATTGGCTGGAACAGACGACTGTAGTGACTATGAGAAGCCTAGCGCCTCTTGAAGGAAAACTTGGAGTTATGTAGAATTGGCTGGACTAGTACTAGTAAGATTGAAGGGGTTGCTGCAAATCCCAACTTGTTTCTGTTGCTCCACTCCAAAATGAGCTCTGGTTCTGTGCTCTTTGGTTCTGAATGTTTCACTGGTCTGGGTGGAAGTGGAACCTTGGTGATGGACAAAGTTGCCAGCCAATCCCATCGGTTGGATGCAGTTCTTTGACTTTACCGTCACGGGCACGGATCAGGGTTTCAGATGCATGTACACTGCAAGTGGCTAGGCTCTCCCACTGGTTCTACACTTGTTCTGTACACATACTGCAGTTTTTGCCTTTCCCGTCACGAAGACGTTTCAGGGTTTCATTTCATGCGTAATTCGACTACAGCTTGCGGTATCCAGCTTCGCCAATGTCGCATAGAGTCGACAGATATTGACGAAAGCCCGTTAACACTCGTGACGAATCATAACTGCAGATTTTGGAGATGATGATTCTCAGGTTAGAGAACAAAATTGTTTCCCGTTGTTTGCAAGACGTGTGTGATTTGGTGAAGGGCAGGAAATGTTTTGCTGACAGGGCGACGCCTTTGTGGCGTGATGTTATTGGATTGGTACTGCGTGTTTTGCGCGTTCGGCTTGGCTTGGCCTTTCCACAAATGGCCTCCCATAGTGCGTCGCACGGAAATTCAACTTCCGATCCACTGGATGGAAAGTTCGGCGATTTCTTTCATTATCGGCAGTTCTCTTGAAATCGAACAGCGGGAATCGCGATGGTGCAATTGCGTGACGCCACCACTAGGAAGATTCGCCGAAACGGCCCGGCGTGTGCTGCTGGGAGAAGCGACGATATCGACGCCGTTGCGAGCGCTGGCGAAGCGTTACTAAGACGACTGTGCAAAACGGAGTTACAAGTAGTAGTAGTAGTAGTAGTAGTAGTAGTAGTAGTAGTAGTAGTAGTAGTAGTAGTAGTAGTAGTAGTAGTAGTAGTAGTAGTAGTAGTAGTAGTAGTAGTAGTAGTAGTAGTAGTAGTAGTAGTAGTAGTAGCGACGTCGTGAACAGGAGTCGCGACCGGGAAGCGGCAACAGACGAACAAGAACGGACGTCAGAGGGATTCCGGACCTTCCTGAACGCGACGCGTCTCCTGCTGCTAGGGCAGGGCGATGCGGAACTATCAACGCTGGCGAAAACCCCGCGATGTCGAGCCTCTGCGACGTTCCTGCTGTGTGACGGACGTCGCACGGGCGAGTGGACGACGCTGCGTCGCCTGCGATCCATCGCGACGCAAATGTGACGGCGAACCGAACGGTGGGATGCTTAATTGATGGGAGCATACCTTTCTACCAGATGCGGCGAATGCCACCAAAGTTGAAATGCATGCTTGCAATATGGTAAATGTAGAGAAATATCAAAAGAAACCTTGTAAAAAAATATCAAACAGACGTTGAAACGACACCACGTGTGGCACAGGCTTATCCTTGCACAGTTTTCCCTGCTCAAATGTTCAAATGTTTTTTTGCATTATTTCTACACACATTCAGGTAGTACATCCTATTGTCAGAATCCCAACCACTAGACCATTGGGATAAAAGGGCTTGTTTCAGTAGCGGGTCAGTGCGCCCATAACCCCCCAGGCGAACGCGCCTGTAACCCTCTCCAGGATCAATCGGGCATCCACAGTGCAGATCTACTGACACCCCCCCACACTGGGAGGCCCAGGACTAAGCACAGCGGCAACGGCCTACATGTGCATACACCGGGAATCGAACCCGAGACCGCTCTGATACCATGTCAGAATCCCAACCACTAGACCATTGGGATAAAAGGGCTTGTTTCAGTAGCGGGTCAGTGCGCCCATAACCCCCCAGGCGAACGCGCCTGTAACCCTCTCCAGGATCAATCGGGCATCCACAGTGCAGATCTACTGACACCTATTACCTTCCCATAGGAATTGGTTTGACCTCGTTCGCACAACTACGCAGCACGTGACGCTTGTTTCTGCGTATGCTGGCCTGAATCTGTGCAAGGATAGGCCTATGCGCAACATGTCACTGCGCCAACATCTGAATGCTTATTTTACCACTATTTCTTCACACAGTCCTCTACTACATCCTATTACCTAGCCATAGGAACTGATTTCATTCCGTTGGCACAACTACGCAGCTCGTGGCGCATGTTTGTGCGTTTGCTGGCCTGAATCTGTGCAAGGATAGGCCTGTGCGCAACATGTCACTGCGCCAACGTCTGGATGCCTTTTTTACCACTATTTCTTCATACAGTCCTTTACTACATCCTATTACCTAGCCATAGGAACTGATTTCATCTCGTTAGCACAATTATGCAACTCGTGGCGCATGTTTGTGCGTTTGCTGGCCTGAATCCGTGCAAGGAGAGGCCTGTGCGCAACATGTAAGTGCGCCAACGTCTGGATGCCTTTTTTACCACTATTTCTTCACACAGTCCTCTACTACATCCTACTACCTAGCCATAGGAACTGATTTCATCTCGTTAGCACAACTACGCAGCTCGTGGCGCATGTTCGTGCGTTTGCTGGCCTGAATCTGAGCAAGGATAGGCCTGTGCGCAACATGTCACTGCTGCTGCTGCTGCTGCTGCTGCTGCTGCTCCTGCTGCTGCTGCTGCTGCTGCTGCTGCTCCTGCTGCTGCTCCTGCTGCTGCTCCTGCTGCTGCAGCTGGATCCTTTTATCATCCAACAACGACCTCTGCTGCCCCTCCAGCCGTCCATGCTGCAGCACCCCTTGACAGTAGCTCCTGGCCGGTAACCAAGGATGCTTCTCCAGTCGTTTGTGCAGCTCTCGAGCATACCTGCTGGCTGGAATTATTGGCCGAAGTGTTGTCGTACGCAGCAGTTGCCTGTCCAGCTGTCCAGCTCCCATTGGTCCCTGTTCATGGGACTGGGATCGCCTCACCCTGCGCAGAGGGATGGTAGAGATTGGGTCGGGAGAGCAGGCTTGGGAGGATGCCAGCCCAGCCACCCCAGGCGCAGCAGCAATACCAAAAACACCAGCGGCACCAGCAGCACCAGAAACACCACCAGCACCAGCAACACCAGAAACACCAGCAGCACCAGCAACACCAGAAACACCAGCATCACCAGCCACACCAACAACAGGTGCAACACCGGCAGCGCCACCAGCAACACCAGCAGCCTTCACGGTAATATCCACGCCATTCCCATTACCCACATTGGCAGCTGCAGAAGCAACACCATCCATACTAGGGCCAGCAACACCCATACCACCAGCAGCTCCAACACCACTTGGACCACTCACACCACCCACTCCACCTATGTTGCCCACACCACTCACACCACCCACTCCACCTAGGTTGCCCACACCACTCACACCATTCACACCACCTGTGTTTCCCACACAGGGCCGGGAATCTGGGTTTGAGGAAACGACTACTGGTGGCTCCAGTGGAAAAGGTACAGTGTGCCTACGAAGCATCAAAGGTGCGGGTTCGGAAGGGGGTTTGGAATCAGGCTTGGGTTGAGGCTCGGTCCAAGGGCTGCAAAGATGAGAATTTTTTACTTCTTTCAGGTCCGGGGTGTAGCTCCTAAGCATCTGCTGCTCCCTCCACTCTTTTGCAGGTAATGCTTCATTTACTAGGTCTGCAGAAGCACGCCTTGCGGCTGCAGCTGCCTTTCCCTTCCTGCCAGTGTTGAGAGTGAGGGAGTTGTGTCTCTGGAAGCTCGACGCATGCCGCTGCGGCACATGCTGCTGTCCCTGCTGTTCCTCCTGTCCCTGCTGCTGCATTTGCCATTGCTGCTGCTGGTTCTGGAGATGCTGATGCACGTGTGGAATCACAACAACTGAAGATCTGCGCGACATGGTAAAAGCATACCGCGCGCTGGGATGATGCCCTTGAAACGGCCCAAAAGGAGACATCATGGCATGCGCATACTGCATTGTCTCAGCATGCCAGCTTGTAGGCATGGTGGAAGCTGAACCTGCTGTCATGCTGGGTACCTCCATCTCCTCTACTGCTTCTTGCACGGAGCCATTCTCTCCAGGCGCCATAAATCCAGTTTTGAGACGTCTCAAAGCTGAACCGGCTGTCATGCTGGGTACCTCCATCTCCTCTACTGCTTCTAGCTTCGCCTCTAGCAGGGAAGCATCCTCGCCAGGCGTCATAAATCCTCCGGACACCTCGACACTGAAACCCCATGAAACGGCTTGTGGCTCGCTTGGGACTGGCAGCCCTGCTGTTTGCGGCCTAGCCAACGCTTGCTGCCTTTCCAATGCTTCCTCCCCTGTCACTGCGTGCTGCCCCGCTGCCAGTGCTGAGGTTTCTACTGGAGTACGAATCTGCTCCACACCTAGATGGCCGGATGGACCTGCTGCTGCCACACCCACCGCCACACCTGCCCCTCGGACCGCTTGACCTTGCTCGGCCCATTCTCCCCGTTGACCTGGCTGGTGCCATTGGGAGGATGATGGATCAGATGGTGCAGTCTGGGCAGTCTGGGCAGCTTGGAACGGCACCGCCTGGTGGCTTGCCTGCATTGCCATTATGTAGCCACCACGGCCGTTTTCAACCTCAGAAGTTGTGCAGCCACCTTCCTGCCCCTCCATCCCTACTTGAGATGGCACCGCCTGTTGGCTTGGCTGCATTGCCATCATGTAGTTACCAGGATTGTTCTCACCCTCAGACACTGTCCAGCCTCCTTGCTGTCTCTCCATCCCTTCAGTTTTCAGCATTTGCTTACTGCTTTCGTGAGGGAAATCCTTGTCGCTGGGCAGCTGGAAGTATCGAACAGGCGGCCCCATTTCCATCGTCAAACGCTCGTCTATTCCCGTCCATGTCTCCATCGCACCCTCTTCCTCCTCCATCGCTCCGCCTTCCTCCATTGCCCGTTCCCCGCCTTCCTCCATTTCTTCCTCTGAAGGCACCTCCCGTTCTTCCACTCCCTCCTTGCCTGTTGCAACACCAACCCCACTCCCTCCAACCCCATCGGTTTCGTCAATTGCCCCCAGCTGCTGAGCAAATTGCTCTGCTAGTAAAGAGCTCCACTCCCCCTCACCATCTGCCAAACCATCTGCCATCTCTAATCCCATCTCCTCAAAATTCAACTCCTCAAAGCCGTCCAGATCTGCTCCCAGTGAGTCCAATCCCAACATTCCCAGTCCATTTATCATCGCACTAGGCATCTCCTCCGGTAGGACTGAGTGGCAATTCAGGGTGGGACCAATAAACATTGGGTTGCATTCTGAGGTGTGAGTGGGGATAGTGGCATGGATATGAACGCCGCTGGTGAGTGCAGCTTCAGGGACTGAGATATCAACAAAGGTGGATGGGAGGGCAGAGACAGAGGCGGAGGAGGCAGAGGCGGAATTGGCAGAGGTGGAAGGGGCGGAGGAGGAGGAAAGGGCGGCTAAGCTCGAGCTACTACCGCTTACGGTGGAGCTTCTTTCAGGAATGTCCACTCCTCCTTTGCTCCCGCTATCACTGCCTGCTGACGTTTCTGCTGCTAGTAATACTTTTCCTACTCCTACCCCTGCTCCTCCACCTCCTCCTCCTCCTCCTCCCCCCCCTCCTCCTCCTCCTCCTCCTCCTCCTCCTCCTCCTCCTCCTCTCCTCCCCCCTCCTGTTCTTACACTCACTCCTCCCCTCCCATGTCCTCTTCCTCTTCCCCTTCCTCTTCCCCTTCCTCTTCCTCTTCCTCCTTCTCCTCCTCCGCATTCCCCTCCTACCAGTGCAGATAAAGCCTGCTCCTTAGCCCCTGATCTTGCACCTGCGTCGTCTGTTGATTCCGGTTGCACTCCCATGCCAGTCTCTCCTCCCACCTGCCCTGCTACCATTCCTGCTGTTTCCATCCTAGTCGCTGCACCCAATGACGCTGCAGGATCCGAGCCCAGTGCTACTGCCCCTCCCCCTTTCTGAAGATACCGGCCTGGGAAGTTAAGCTTCGCCTTTGCTCCTCGGATTTTCAGAGCAGCTTCATCAAACGCCTTGGCAGCGTCCTCTGCAGAACGGAACGTGCCCAACCACCTGCGGACCCCGTTAGTGGTGTCTTTAATCTCTGCAATGTAACGAAACTCCCCCCGCTTCCGCACGCCCCGGTACCGCCCTGGCTGGTTGTAGTTGCGGCTGCGCACCATTCTGGTGCGCCAGCTTCCACGTGTTAAAGGCTCTAATGGCTCTAATGGCTCTAATGGCGCTAATGGCCCTAATGGCCCTAATGGCCCTAATGGCGCTAATGGCTCTAATGGCCCTAATGGCCCTAATGGCTCTAATGGCTCTAATGGCTCTGCACCAGCGGCAGCCTCACCTTGTTCTAGTGCTTGCGACAAGTGCGGCCGTAGCAGCGGCTGTAGCTGAGAGGAGAGCTGTTGGATCCGGTGTGGTGATAGCTGCTCTGTCTGAACCTGTAGCTCTGGCTGTGATTGTAGCTGTGGCTGTAGCTGTGGTTGTGGCTGTAGCTGTGGCTGTGGCTGTGGTTGTGACTGTAGCTGTGGCTCTGGCTGTGACTGTAGCTGTAGCTGTGGTTGTGGCTGTAGCTGTGGTTGTGGCTGTAGCTGTGGTTGTGGCTGTTGCAGCAGCGATGTATGGGACCGTGGTGCAAGCTGCTGTGGCATCTGTTGCTGTGGCATCTGTTGCTGCTGTTGAACCTGCTGCTGTGATCTCTGCTGCAGCAACATCTGTTGCTGTGACATCTGCTGCTGTGACATCTGCTGCGGTGACATCTGCTGCGGTGACATCTGCTGCTGTGACATCTGCTGCTGAGACATCTGCTGCTGTGACATCTGCTGCTGTGACATCTGCTCCGGTTGCATGCCAGCAGTGCTGTTGCTGCATCTACAACTGTTGCATCTGCCAGGTGTCCGGCGGGTTATCCCACCTATTTTCAGAAGCGCCGGAAAACAGAGATCTGTCAGAACTGAAGGTCTTCCTAGTACTACTACTAGTGAGTCAGAACTGGAAGTTCCAAGTAGAGAGAGACTGGATTTATCACGCTGCTGGTCTAATTTCGTGGCAGAAACTGAAAGGGATGAATTTGTTAAGTTAAAATCCCGGACATTTCGCCGGACTGTTGCCACCACAGGGAGCACTCGCAGTCACGGTGTGCCCTGTGGCTCGAGCTGGATACCGTAATGACTATGAGTCGCCTACTACTAGTAGTAGTATTATCAGAACTCGGACGTTTGTGCAACTGGCTGCTGGACAAGCTAGAAATACTAGTAGTAGTTGCCAGTGCACAATTTCAACTTGTTGCTCAACCCAAAATGAGCTGGTTTTGTGCTTCTGGTTTACACTGGCTTGGGGGAGGGGTGGTGGAACGATTGGTGTGGACAGTGGACAAGCGCAAGTGGTCAGCCAATCCCGTCGGTTGAATCCTCTTTATCTTCCCCGTCACGGGCACGCATCAGGGTTTCAGATGTACAGTTGCTAGACTCTCCCACCAATTCAAAACTGTTCAGTTCTTTACCTTCCCGTCCCAGGCACGGTTCAGAGTTTCGATATGTACAGTAATTTGTTTTCTTTTAGGATTTTAGTGATGCCATCCGTGCGTCTGCAGAGTCTGCCCTGCACATTTCCTTGTGCACGTACCTGCACCCACCCACACGTTTTCTTTCTCTGTGCGATCTGTATTTTCATTGGATATGATGCCATTTTGGCGAAGGGGCATTGAATGCTCATCTTGCTTCACCTGCCCTTGTCCCCGTATACGGCTGACTTGTCTTGGCAGCTAGGGTCGTAAAAACGGTTATTCCCCACGTCACGACTCACACAACAGTAATTGTAATGCTCTATCCCCCCAATTCTCCATTCTCTGGGGTTTCAAACAAGCACTGTTCACGTGTTCTGAGCAAAACACGCAACCCGCGAAACACGCTAAAGGCCAAACCAAGCAAGGCTAACGCGCGAAACACGCAAAGGCCAAACCAAGGGCCAACGCGCGAAACACGCAAAGCTAAGCCAATCAGAATGATCCTCGCGTCCACATACCACGTGTGAAGAATCAGGCTTATCAACACCGAATCGCAAATTCGGAAACGCAAGTTTCTGGTTTACGTTTACGTTTATTACGGTCTAAAATATATGAATTGCCCGTTACAGTGCACTCGTATACCAACCACAATCCGAAACCAGTCATTCAATAGAGAGAATGTTTCGGCAACTTTCATTGGGGCTCTGATGGAAGATACCACCAGGAGGAGATCCCAGATTCCCAGGCATTTCATGAGCGTGAGCGTGACCCGTGACAACTTCGCACGTAGTAGCCGTTATCATGATCCCATGTTCTGCTCGTTGCGCTTCGCCGCGGTTCTTGCAACGCTCCGGCATGAGCATCGCCGCGTTCTTCGTTGATTCTAGCCTCACTACCACTAGCCACCAATCTCCTCCCGTAGCGCGTCGCGCGCACATCCAACCTCCGCCGTCGCCGGGTCCTTTTTTCCTGGAGAATTCGGTGAACTCCTTCGATTCTGGTTCTCTTGGAATCGACCAGCGGGAATCGCTATTGTGCAGTGACGACCTTCACGCTAGGAGGAGTCGCCGAATCGGCCCGTGTGCTGCTGGGAAAAGCGACGATAGTAGCGGCGCCGTTGCGAGTTGGCGAAGGCGTTACGGTCACGATGCGAAACGGAGTTACAACATTAGTAGCGTCGCGAACGGGAGTCGCGACCCGGAAACGGCAACAGACGAACAAAGACGGACGTCGGCAGGGGTAGCAGATTCTCCGGAAACCGACGCGTCTCCTGCGACTTCCAGGCGATGCGGAACCATCAACCCTGGCGACAACCCCGTGAAGTGGAGCCTCCGCGACGTTCCTGCTGTGCGACGTACGTCATACGGGCGAGTGGACGACGTTTTCCTGCGTCGCTTGCGATCCATCGTGGGCGACTCAAACGTGACGACGAACCGAACGGTGGGATTGGGAGCATACGGGGAATGCTTGAGGGATGGAATTTTACGTGGAATGCTTGGATACTGGGAATAAACTTGAGATGCTTTAATAATTGGATTTACGTGGAATGCTTAAATAGCATTGAAAACGTGGGATGCTTGAATGCTTGAATAGAATTGGCTGCTTAAATAATGGGAGTAAATGTGGAATGCTTGAATCAAGGGAATGAATGTGGGATGCCTAAAAAGAAGGATATACGTGGGATGCTTGAATAGCGGGAAGATACATGGGATGGATGCTTGGATATTGGGAATATACATGGGATGCTTGAATCATGGAAGAATACTTGGGAATAATCGGAATACACGCACCTGGGTTGCGTGGGGAATGTACGTGGGGAATTTACATGGGGAATTTTCGTGGGGAATGTACATGGGGAATTTGCATGGGGAATTTACGTGGGGAATGTACGCGGGTTGTGTGAATCGCGGCATGATGGTATGGTGGCTTAGCATGGTGAGATGATGGCATGGCATTATGGCATCATCATCACATATGTTTTTGACATGCTGGGATACTGATACGCTGGCATGCGAACAGGTGTTGGAGCAGCATGGCAGGGACGAGTCGTGCCATGAGCCTGTGACACCAGCCACGCTCTGAGCAACAGCTGGTAACCGCATGTGTTCCCGCGTGCATGCCCGTCATTCCCTATGTATGTTGCCATTTAAACAGGTGTTGGAGCAGCATGGTAGGGACGAGTCATACCACGAGGCTGTCCCACCAGACGCGGTCGCATTCGCACGATCCACCCACCAAGTGCAACAGCTGGTAACCGCGTGCGCTGCCGCCCGCGTGCCCGTCATTCCCTATGGCGCCGGCACGTCTCTGGAAGGCCACGTGGCGGCGCTCTGTGGAGGCGTCTCCATTGACCTGTCGCAGATGAATGAGGTACGGTGCGGTTACCAGGTAACGGTGGCGCATGGTCGAGCAGGTGATGATGTAGTTGTGCGGATTGGAGAGTGGGGAGTGGAGAATGGAGAGTGGGGAGTGGAGAATAGAGAGTGGGGAGTGGAGAATGGAGAGTGGGGAGTGGAGAATGGAGAGTGGGGAGTGGAGAATAGAGAGTGGGGAGTGGAAAGTGGAGAGTGGAGAGTGGAGAATGGAGAGTGGAGAATGGAGAGTGGAGAGAGCAGAGTGCAGGGTGTTACTCGAGTCAATTTTTCAATCACCTCGGAATTTTTGTGGCTTGGGAATGGTTTTTCCTATTCCTTTTTGTCTTCAGGTGGTGGAGGTGCATGCAGAGGACATGGACTGCAGAATTCAGGCACGGGTGATACGCCAGTCAATCTTTCAGGTGGCTCATAACATAATCCTGCACCCCCTTGTACTTTTGTTCTTCTTGTCTTCAGGTGGTGGAGGTGCATGCAGAGGACATGGACTGCAGAGTGCAGGCAGGGGTGACACGTCAGCAGCTCAACCACCATCTGCACGACTCGGGCCTCTTCTTCCCCGTTGACCCAGGCTCGGAATGCACCATAGGTGAGTGGCAGGCTCGGAATGCACCATAGGTGAGTGGCAGGCTCGGAATGCACCATAGGTGAGTGGCAGGCTCGGAATGCACCATAGGTGAGTGGCAGGCTCGGAATGCACCATAGGTGCGTGGCAGGCTCGGAATGCACCATAGGTGAGTGGCAGGCTCGGAATGCACCATAGGTGAGTGGCAGGCTCGGAATGCACCATAGGTGCGTGGCAGGCTCGGAATGCACCATAGGTGAGTGGCAGGCTCGGAATGCACCATAGGTGCGTGGCAGGCTCGGAATGCACCATAGGTGAGTGGCAGGCTCGGAATGCACCATAGGTGAGTGGTAGGCTCGGAATGCGCCACAGGTGCATGGCAGGCCCGGAATGCACCACAGGTGCGCGGCAGGCTCGGAATGTACCACGTCACAAGCATTTATCAAAATATAACTCCGAAATGAATCCAACCGTTCGCTGTGCATGGCAGCATGCCACAGCACGTCTGCTCCCCCCCGTGTGTCCCTCTCCCCTCCCCCCATGCGTGCCTTACCATGTGCGTGAGTACCCCATACGACTACAGGGGGGATGACAGCAACAAGAGCTTCAGGCACCAATGCTGTTCGGTATGCTCTGCCAGCATCCAATCCCATGCCATCGCATCCCATTCCATGCCACGCCTTCTCTCCTCGTTATGTTTCCCATCCCCCTTTTTCCGTTCCCACCTTCCCC